TATATAAAAATCATGAAGCGAAATAGGGTATCGATAACTGAAAGAAGGGGAACAGGACTTAAGCAAACTCAAACCTCGTCGCAATGGACACAAACACAATCAAATCCGAAAGTGAGGAAAAAGAATATTTCGGTGAACATGGTTAATACAAGAAGCATGAAAGAACACAAAGCCAAGGAGAAAGCAAGGGAAGGACCGACTATACCGGCTAGAGAAACCGATCTTGAGACACCAGATCAGAAAACTGACGGTGTGGAAAGAAAGACGACGGAATCAACACCAATGCCAAATGCAGAAGAACAGGAGAAGAAAACAATAGAGTGTCGCCAATAGGCAGTGTAGATGAAACAACAAACAACACACCGGAGGCGATAAAAGACGACTCTCAAAGGAAGAGAACGTCGTTTACCTAGAAAATTGCTGTAATGGTCGGAATGAAGCCAAGCGAGAAGGAGGAGATAACGACAGTGACCGAAAAAAGTAAAACCTTTGGGACAGTTTTGACGATAACGACGGAAACCAGGAAGGGTAAGGAGGAAGCCACGCAAGAAGCAACAGCTAGCCAAGATAAGCGAGCTGATGGAACGAAAACAGCTTCAGTAGAGCTGGGAGACTTAATGACAAAGTTAAGTGAAATAGACAAAAAGTTGAAGTGCAGTGAGGAGGCCCGCCAATAGCTGAAAAGCTGAAAAAGGAAATAAAACACAACAAAATGGAGAAATTGGATAACTACTGCGTCTGAGCAAGGGCCACAGAAAAAAAGCTACACCAGATGTCGGACCATTGAGGCTACCGACAAAGAGCGAGAGAAACATATCAAGAAGGATATGGAAGAAATGAAGAAACGGTGTGACACCGTGAATGAGCAGTTGTGGAATCTGAAGACCAGAATGGATACAGTGAGCAAGGATCAAACTGAAAATTTTTGTGCAATACATTCCAAACTGGACGCACTCTTGAGAAACTCTAAAGCACAAGATAAATTAGTGGCAGACAAACCACAGGGAACTAGGGTCGACTTTGTAGAACCGCAGCGGAAGAAAAGTGAGTCCACACCGCTATCTGAGATGGATCAAAGGTCCACTGTCTAATAAAAAGTAACTATACACAAGGTTCCGACCTTGTTTTTAAAGGCGTTCGCGTATTTTGGGTACTTTGAGACCTGAGTATGGGGGCGTTCTTATTTTCTAGTGTGGGGGTGGGTATTTTGGTAGTGGTCTTTAAGCTGTAACCCGAATTGGCTCCAACCGCTTGAGGAAGAAAAACACAAGATATAGTGTCCCTTCTTGAGCCAATGGTTATAGGGCCTATTTTTCTTTGACCTCATATGTGACTTAAGTAGGCGACTGTTACGTACTGTTTTTTATGGCGCTCCTGGGTGTTTTTACATCATCAAGACTACGGGATCAAACCCACTTGACACAGCTCCGGGCTACATGCCCATTCTAGATTACCGGTGGAATGGTTCAACGGGAACGTGGCCACCTTCTGGTTGTACCGTGTTAGCTTTTGAGAAAACTTGAGAATGTTTCCCGGTGTGCTTTCCGAAAAGAGGCCTAGCTAACCGAGTAAAGGGGGCAACTAGGGGGACAAAAAGAACTAGTAAAAGTCGAAAAGCGAAACAAAAAATCAAAAAAGATTAGAAATAGGAACAAAAAACGATAAAACCTCAAAAAGGACAGTGGCTTTGACTTCCAAAATAGGTGGATCAAACCTTTATATTAATTAAAATAGTATACCCATACTGTTTTCCAATAAGACCGATCGTCTCGATCAAACCAGCAACGTTGTATAGGTACCCAAATGTGGTGCGTTATAAGATTTTCAGATAGCTTGTGACATCAGCGGACCACTGGGAGACTTGACTGGAAGAGGTGACCAGCGAAGTGAGAAAGTGGACAACTCGGAGACTTGATTGGAACAGGTGACAAGCCCAGGGGGAAAGTGTGACCAACCAACATAGCAGAACAGAGCAAACGGAGGAAAGGAGGTCAGAGGTGTTGTTTGGTCAACCGGGTATCGTTGAAATCCACGTTACATCAAAGGAAATAAGTTTAAAATTGGATAAGCGGATACCCACTGTTTTGAGGAAACGTTTTTACTTGAGCAGAGCTTGGAAACAGGCTCTACGGATTTTCTCTCGAGAGGTTTAGCACCCATTGTGCTTATGGGTAATTTTCGGCTTGAGTGGGGGTCTAGATAGGGGGGAGGTTCGAAGGGGGGGTGGTTAAGATAGAGGTTGGCGGTACAAAATTGTAAAAAGGGGGGACACATTATAGTAACTATACAATCAATATCGTTGATTTAGTTACATTAGTAGACCCAGAATCTAGAGCGATCCATCTATAGACTCAGAACAAGAGTTGCAACGCGATAAGATCCAAATTTATGATCGGATTAAGGTTTTATCGAATCGGCTAAAGTTACAGACTAACAAACAAGCCGTATTTCGACTTTCATCGGATTGAAACAGTGTAGGTATTTTTAGGGGACTTAGTAAAGAAAATTTTGTTGAACAGAATTGGGTTTTGGGGATTATTTTTTATACTAGAACTCTAGAGGTGGTACTCGGATAGTGGATCAGGTATCCCAATACTCGACATAAGGCACATTGGAATTCTTCAATCAGGCTAAGAAACACTTGAGCTACAAGGTTGGAAAAAGTACAAGAGTCTTGCCGGCAGTCTTGGGATAGTGATCTAAGTGTCCCAACAATCAGTCTTGGGATAGTGATCTAAGTATCCCGACACTTTAGCGAAGGGTCCTAGTAGAGTTCAGAAGAGTCCTGGGACAGCAACGAAGTGTACCAACACTTGGGCGAAGGGTCCTAGGAGGGTTCAGAAAAGTCCTGGGACAGCGACGAAGTGTACCAAAACCTGAGCAAAGGGTCCTAGGAGGTTTCAGGAAAGTCCTGGGACAGCAAAGAAGTGTACCAACACTTGAGCGAAGGGTCTTAGGAGGGTACACAAAAGTACTAGGACCGTACCAAAGTGTACGAAGACCCCATCGAAGTATCCCAACCTTTGAGAGAAAGGTACTAGGAGAGTACCAAGAAATCTTGGGACAGTATCAAAGCATTCCATAACTAGAGCGAAGGATCCTAAGGCCTGAAACTGAATTAGATTTAAAACTGATTTAGCAATTTCGACTGGTTTTAGTTTTTAATGCATTAGGGAGTTTTTTTTATAATTTCAATCGTATTTTACAATAGGGACTTTTAAATATTAAATTTGTAGGTAAAGAAAATTGTATATAAAAATCATGAAGCGAAATAGGGTATCGATAACTGAAAGAAGGGGAACAGGACTTAAGCAAACTCAAACCTCGTCGCAATGGACACAAACACAATCAAATCCGAAAGTGAGGAAAAAGAATATTTCGGTGAACATGGTTAATACAAGAAGCATGAAAGAACACAAAGCCAAGGAGAAAGCAAGGGAAGGACCGACTATACCGGCTAGAGAAACCGATCTTGAGACACCAGATCAGAAAACTGACGGTGTGGAAAGAAAGACGACGGAATCAACACCAATGCCAAATGCAGAAGAACAGGAGAAGAAAACAATAGAGTGTTGCCAATAGGCAGTGTAGATGAAACAACAAACAACACACCGGAGGCGATAAAAGACGACTCTCAAAGGAAGAGAACGTCGTTTACCTAGAAAATTGCTGTAATGGTCGGAATGAAGCCAAGCGAGAAGGAGGAGAGAACGACAGTGACCGAAAAAAGTAAAACCTTTGGGACAGTTTTGACGATAACGACGGAAACCAGGAAGGGTAAGGAGGAAGCCACGCAAGAAGCAACAGCTAGCCAAGATAAGCGAGCTGATGGAACGAAAACAGCTTCAGTAGAGCTGGGAGACTTAATGACAAAGTTAAGTGAAATAGACAAAAAGTTGAAGTGCAGTGAGGAGGCCCGCCAATAGCTGAAAAAGGAAATAAAACACAACAAAATGGAGAAATTGGATAACTACTGCGTCTGAGCAAGGGCCACAGAAAAAAAGCTACACCAGATGTCGGACCATTGAGGCTACCGACAAAGAGCGAGAGAAACATATCAAGAAGGATATGGAAGAAATGAAGAAACGGCGTGACACCGTGAATGAGCAGTTGTGGAATCTGAAGACCAGAATGGATACAGTGAGCAAGGATCAAGCTGAAAATTTTTGTGCAATACAGTCCAAACTGGACGCACTCTTGAGAAACTCTAAAGCACAAGATAAATTAGTGGCAGACAAACCACAGGGAACTAGGGTCGACTTTGTAGAACCGCAGCGGAAGAAAAGTGAGTCCACACCGCTACCCCGGATTGCAACGAGCATAGGAGCAAAAGGGTCCAAGACTACTATGAAGGGTGGAACCAAAGGCTCGACGAATGCACCGGGGAACTAAGGGGGAAAAGTGTAACACCTGACGCCATGACGTGGGCGAGTACCTGGGAAATATTGAACAGAACACTTGAAGCATTTGCTACAAGGAGTACAGAGTCGAGTGACCGGGGAAGTGATAAATCCAGGAAGACATTCAAGAAACCAAAAAAATTTAAAGACGACTCGGATGGCTGCATTGACACCTGAGTAGAAGTCGTGAGTCGACATCTAGAACAGGACAACCTGAATGACAAAAAGCAGGCCTGCACCGCATTACTAAGCAATTTAGAAGGCACCGCACAAAAACGCGTGGTAGCAAAGAAAAAGGAGGAGCGTGATACAGCGGACAAAGATTTCGAGATACTGTTTTATCGATTCGGATGAGGAATGAAGGGTCATCAAGCGATGATGAGATTTGAAAAAAGAAGACAAAAGTAAGACGAGTCAATCGATCGATTCCTGTATGATCTTGAGTGCTTGATGAGAAGAAGCGACCCGGAAGATTCGACGACCAAAAGAAAATTCAGCATCGCTTCAAAGTTTATTGGCGGGTTGAGAAGTGACGACTTGAGAACGATGCTGGCAACACATTATACACTATCAAAGGATAATGCACCAACCCCAGAAGAAATGAGACAAAAGTCAAGAGAGTACATGTTGATGAAACCAAAACAGTACTCGTTCTCAGAACGCAGGAACATGCAAAGTGGAGCAAGCTACAAAGGTCGTCATGGTACAAGCCTAGAGACGACAGGGACAAACGTAGTTCATGCGCCAATTGTGGATCAGCGGATCATCATGTGGCAGGTTGCACGACATACAAGCAAGGTATGAAAAGCTTGTGATACGCATCAGGGGAAGAGGATAAGAATCAAACCGAGTAACATGAGTTTTAGAGTGGCTTGATTATTAAGATAGACGCGAGGTGTTTTCTGTAACCAAGAAGGCCATTTCAGGATGGACTGTCCTTTGTTTTAGGAGGCGGTGAAGAATCAGAATCACCCGAAACACAAACTGGCACTGGCTGCAGTGCAAAATACCAGGAATACACAAGCTGAAAATGATTTGAACAAAAAAGCAGCAGCTGGTGGTGAATTATCAACAAAGACAGTGAAGGCCGTGACACAAAAAAAAGATGCCACGGGGCCGAGATGAGAAATTCTCTAGAGATAAACTACGAGAGAGCAGCTGCAGAGGCAATCAACAAAGTGATGCAAGACTTGGCGACCAAAGAAATCGAGCAACAGCTGAAACAGGAAAAAGAAAAACAGAGATTGAATGATTGAATGAAACACTCTCTATGACAAGACCAGAACCAGAGACCGGAGAGAACTCAAGGACTGCATCACAAAAATTTGGGCAAGAATCATGTCAATAATCACAGTGGGCGGCCACGAAGTAACAAGAAACTTGAGTGAACTGAGTGATCAGACAAAAATGCACATAGATGTGTACGCGGATTACTTGAGCGCAATAAGCCCGCAAACTCCTTCTAGAGCTTTAAGGGCATTACTCAGTGAAGTGGTAGTAAATCAGTTGGCATAGACAACAGATAAACGCAAGTCTAGGGTCCAAATGAGGTCATGCCGAATATAGATGGAATAAACATCTACACAAAAACGATGATAACATGTGATGAGGATCTAGTCGGGCAAATCTACGTTGGTAGAGAAGAACTAGAAGTGAGATCGATCGGACACTGCGCTATGTTAGAAGAAGATGCAATGTATCTGGGAACAGAGGCAGACGTATCGGCACACGAACTGGAAAATAGCATAAAAAAGACTCAATTGCGTGGGTTATTGGACACAGGAGCCGTCTTGAGTGTCATACCAATTGAAACATGGAAAAGAATGGGGTTTGACAAAGTTGACTTGATAGACTCAAGAAGACGGTTGTCAGCGGCAAATAAAGTTGCGCTACGGGTTCTAGGAAGGACACCAATATTAGCCTTAAATCCGGCGGAACGCAGTTTGTGAATGAGCTTTCTGGTAGTTGAGAATCTAAATGTATCTGACCAACTTATTTTAGGCAGAGATTCCATCAGGAGTTTCTATGTAACAATTAATCTTAACAATGCGATGTTCAGGATTCGGGACCCGGAAAGAAAGTGCGTGATTAAACCGGTAAATTTGGTAATGGTGAATTAAATTAAGACTCCAGTTTTCTTGAATTGGACGGTAAGGCTGAAAAGCAAATGAGCCAGCGATAGTAAGTTTGCGGATGAAAAATTTCAATGAATTAAGTGACAAAACACAAGTATGCAAAATGCCGAATCCGAATAATCAAAGTGCTGCTTTTTGAGGAAGATCCTTCTCGATAATCAAGAGTGGCCTCTGCGTCAGTGTCTTGTTGAATACTCTTGATATACCAATCACAACCAAGAGGGGAAGGAAGCTGGGATACGCACTACCTTTGAAAACTAGATATGAAATGACTGAAAATGTGAAAGAAAAAGAAGTTATTCATTGCCCGAATCATAGGGATAAGATTTGTATCTTGAGAAGGTTGAAGAAAATTAAATAATCATCAAGGCTTATGAAGTCGCTTAAATCAGAGACGGACGATGGATTTTCGAGCTCTTCGAATTTTCCGGAAAGACCCACATTAGAGTAATTAGAAATGGATAAACCGGTATTACCAGAAATAAAACACTTGGGGGGTAAAATAACGGACGAACAGCTCGAGGCCATCAAGGATGTGTTAGATCGGAATCAAGACGTTTTTTCGAAACATAGGGCAGACATTGGATGCTGTAATTTCGTTGAACATGAAATAGAGCTCGAGGAGTCGGCGGTACCGCATAGGGATGGGGCGAGGCGTATGACCCCTATCAAACTGGATGCATGTAGAAAAGAGATAGAGACCATACTAGAATATGATATGATAGAACCATCCAAATCACAGTGGGTGTGTGGAGTAGTGATGGCTAAGAAGAAAAGAGACCAACTAAAACTTTGTTGTGGCTTTCGGTATCTGAACTCCGTCATAGTGAAGGATGCCTATCCCGTACCTAGAATCGATGAGAGCCTCTCGAAATCAGGAGATGCAAAATTTTTTACAACACTTGATTTAGGTTCGGCTTTTTGGCAGGTACCCCTGAGGAAACAGGATTCTGGGACAAGACAGGATTTTCTTGCGGGCTGGTGCTGTTTCAATGGAAGAAGATGCCCTTTGGCCTTTGCAATGCCACAGCCACGTTGCAACGATTGATGGCACATGCACTGACAAGTGTAACGAAGAAATATGCTAATTTGGTAATGTGTTACGTGGATGACGTGGTGATTGTGACACCTACTCCAATGGATCACACCGAAGGAGTAGACGAGGTGTTCGCTTGCATGAAAAGAGCAGGACTAAAATGCAAGCCATCGAAGTGTTAGATTCTCAAGGATTCGGTCAAATACCTGGGAGGATGTCGGACAAGCATGGCATTAGGTCAGACCCAGGCGCGGTAGATGCGGTGCTGACTTGGAAATCACCGAAAACGGAGCATCAAATAATGAGCTTCTTGGGTTTTGCGAACTATTACAGGGAGTGTATCAAGGGCTAAGCAGACGAAGTATATCGAATGCATCAACTCATGAGGCACAAGGACAAGAAAATCACGTAGAATAACGCGGCAGAGGAACCATTTCAAATAATAAAGAGAGAGCTGTGCGAAGCATCTGTGCTATGGATGCCCACGGAAAAGGAAATGTACGTGCTGGACACGGATGCATCGGTGGTAGCGATCTCTGGAATACTCAACCAAGAACAGGAGTGGAATGGGAAGACAGTTTTGAGACCGATTGCTTACAGGAGCATAGTCTGTCTTGTAGAAAAATACAGGGCATACCTGAATAGCGAGCCATTCAAGTTACGAGTCGAAAACAGAGCACTCAATTGGTTGAAAACGTAATCAATGGACCAGAGCTACATTGAGAGATGGATAGCGCGCCTGGTTGGTTATAACATGATTATTGAGCAAAGAACAAGGGACAAACATCAAAATGCCGACAGCTTGAGCAAGAGGACGGAATTCTATGAGAGACAGGAGCAAAGGGAGGCCGACAGGCCGGAAATCAAAGATGGTTTCTCATTTATGGACAAGGAGAGGTATGACAGTCTGCCACTCACGAGATGGCTTGACAAGTCAGGGAAACCAATAGAGGACCATCCCGGGCTGCCAGCTGAACATGAGACGGAGGAAATTCTCAAGAGAAATGCAGGGATGCCAATGGAAATGATGCTCAAGTCGAAGATAGTGAATGAAACACTAAAAGCAAAACGCTACGACCTCGATGAAGTGGAGACAAGAAGAGTGACGATAGGAGAGGATCTGAGGAGACTACTCGAGAAATTAGCAGTCGATAAACCGGTAATCCGGAGCAATGATAAAGAAAAACCGGAAATCACCATAATGAAAAGAGGGGAAGCGGCTAATGGCGAGTACTCAACGATAGGTAAGCAACCTGACTACAAAGAAGTTGTGCGAACATTGGTCGAGAAAAACTCAGAGGACATACTAAGACGGACTACGTTTTGGGAAGAAGAAAATTGCATTCAAGGAGGAAGCCGAACACCTAGGACCAGATCAAGAGTCCGGGGAGTGGTCGAAACCAAAAGGAGACAGTGAGGAAGAGAATTTGTCCGGGGAGTCGGAAGAATGGGATGATGACTCGGAGAAGAGTGGTGATGACCAAGACAATCTTTGCATGATATTAGTAGAAGAGAAAATGAGGCACCACGACAGAGAACTACAAACTGACCCTTTCTCGGGGACGTACAACCTAGAGCAAGAGGATGCGTATGGAGGAGAAGAGCTTGAGAATATAGCGGTGTCAAGGAAACCATTCAGGGAGCTATCGTGCAATTCAAATGTCAGGACGAAACTGGAACCGGACGATGAAAGGGAGGTCTTGAGAAGGATAGTTTGCTTTAAGCTAAAAGACGACATCCACAGTCCCGGAAAACTGAATGGTCAAATGATGGCATTGAAGGAACACGTCAAAACGAGATACAGACTGTCGGATCTGATACGAGCCCAGAAGAATGACAAGATGACGAGTAAACTCCCTACATGGATCCGGACGGGAGTCAAGGAGAAAGGAGACCTGGAGGAGGATAGTTACATCAAGATCTTGAGAAGCTCTACAAAGAGAAAAGGACTTACTCTATCACACAGCTGATGGTGTAGTAGCCTGTAGGAGGAAAGATGAAGAGAAGATATTACACATGCATAATCTCATCATACTGCCACAGCTATACCAGACGGAAGTGTTGTTCAGATCGCACGACCAGATGGGACATCAGGGGATAGACAAGGTACAACAAAGAATATCACACAAGTTTGATTGGCCAGGGTTGAGAAAGGCTTGTGAAAGTTGGGTGAACGCATGCTTGTCGTGTTTGCAAGTAAAAGACCCTAGAAAATCGAAATTCTCACTTAATTCCGTGGAAATCTCGGAGTTTAACGAGGTCGCGCAGATAGACCATCAGAAGATCTGCATAGCCGACTCGGGATACAATCAGATTCTGGTAATCATAGACCACGGTAACTCAGATTAATCATCGCCTTCAAATTTAGACCATTGGGACAACGTTTTAGAAGAATATCTGGGCACCGACTGTGGGGTTAACTTTAATTCTCATTCTTTCATTTGTGAAAGTACTTTAGATCATTCAAGGCGAACATTATCTGGCGATCACTCAACCTTGGTCTATTCAGTGTCAACTCCGGGCACGAGCAAAAACCCAATCGCTATAAAAAAATTCTCCGAGAAGCCAACAGACTTAGTACCAGAAACTCCCTCATACAGCTCGTCCCGTACGAGAAGTAACCCAGGTCCCCAAAAACTTTACGGAGAGAGGCGATTCATCCACCAAGTGTTACCATTGGTTGCCGTAAAAGACGTTGTTGGCTCAGAAGATATATCGTTGATGTTGTTTTCCTCAAACAACAGATGCCAGATCTCTACCTTTTTTTCCGTTCACCCTCGGCATTCTTGACGCCTTCGGAGGGCATCCCAGCAAGACCAACCTTTGTGGCCGAAACGACACAAGGCTCTCACTCGACCACATCTTCAATGAACCCGAAACTCGCGGTTTTGTTCTACTACGGAGGAACTCCCATTGGAGGATACAGAAGATGCGGGAGCGATATTTCGTCATCATTAGATACCGAAATAAGAGCAGAAGCAGATCTTTTCATCGAACATTTAACTCAGCAGTTTAAACTCTCGAAACTTATTCAGATTGATTCAGTACCATTTTCTTACCATTGGCTCATCTGGAACAATTTGTTAAATTTTTAATACGTTCGTTTCCTAATTATTAGCGGACATATTAGTGGGTTCTATGTTGACCGATTTTTTTTTTGCAATTGTCAATTTTAGTTAGTTTCATGATGTTTTATTTGTTAAACTATACATAAACCCTACTGTACATTGCACTTATTTTTACTTTCCTTCTTTAATTTTGAATTGCGGCATATATCTGTATCGAATTGTATGTAGCCTCTAAAAGATATCTCATTTTCATCTCCGTGTGCTTTTGTATATTCTTTTGTAAATTACATTGGTGCTGAAAATTGATTCTTTTTGTTTTAAACTTCGGATCCCGTGGGGCGAAAGGAGAATGGAGTATATCTGTGATATTGGCTACTTAGTAAAAAGGCAGATATAAATTTTTTGTGCATTGGGGAATTTTGTGATTGTGAATTTTAACGTAGTAACCTTGACTTGTAGCAACTAATTAGTTACCAGTCAGTTGTGCTTTATACGAAGTCCAGTGGACTTCGCGTCACGATTGTTCTCTTTAGACAACAGTCAGCTTCATTTCAACACAAATACGTTTACTCTTTAAACATAGCTTGGTTAGCTTTCGCATACCATTGGTGTCTGTACACTTCTTACTTCTTACTAGCTTGTGCCCTGCGCAACAAATGCACTATTTTGAGCGTTTTTTTGCTGGGATTTGAGCAATTTAACCGGTTTTGAACGGTTTGATTGTATTTAGAAAACTTAGAGCAGTTTTTGACCGTTTTGAGAGCAATCGTCAAAAATAACCGCTCAAACCGCTCAACCTTTTGTTCCAATCATTTGGTCAATACATAATTCGATCACCTCTACTCGGGGGACAAAACAGAAAGCGTTCACAATCCGCAAGATTGATGATAACGTAATTATTCAAAAACCTGGCTTACTGGAACACTAAATTTGAAAAACTTCTAGTAAAATTTATACAGTTTTTTCATCACTATTCTTGTTCTGTCATTTCTCTATTTTTTCATAGGTTCTGATTGACGATAAAACCAGCAACAACCGAATTCAAATTGTCGTGAAACTTTCAATGGAAATCGATCCAAAAATCTTTAATCTACAGTAAAAACTCCATTGGTTGCAAGCTTGCGGAGATTTTGTAACGAAAAATTTGTAGTAGAATTGAATCACATACGCTGATGAGAGCTTAAGTATTTGTTGAAAAAACTGGATATTCATAAAACATCGATTAATGGAAAGGTTTTACCTTGTGACCATATCAAAATTTCCTTGCTTTTTGCTTGTAAAAGTAATCATAGAGTAGTACGTAGCAGATATTGGGGATTGATTTGCTAAGAACTATAGTTTTCTCTTATTTTTTTCTATGGTTCAGAAAGGAAATTGATAACTGACCTGGAAAAGATGAAAAAATTTATGTTTTGCTAACAATTGAAAATTTCAAGATAATAATGTACATCATTCTCAACCAAAAAGTTACTTCAATTTAGAAATTTAGAGTTGAAACAGCAACTTAAAAATATCAGGTCGAGAAAATAAGTTGAAGCTTATTTTTTGAAAAGGATTTATGGTATTAATTCTGCTTCTGATTAATGAACATTCGTTGAAATGATACGTTCGTAAAAGTAATCATAGATTAGTGCGTAGCAGATATTGGGGATTGATTTGCTAAGAACAATGGTTTTATCTTGTTTTTTTTCTATGGTTCAGAAAGGAAATTGATAACTGACCTGGAAAAGATGAAAAAATGTATGTTTTGCTAACATTTGAAAATTTCAAGATAATATTATACATCATTCTCAACCAAAAATTTACTTCAATATAAAAATTTAGAGTTGGAACAGCAACATACAAATATCAGGTCGAGAAAATAAGTTGAAGCTTATTTTTTGAAAAGGATTTATGGTATTAATTCTGCTTCTGATTAATGAACGTTCGTTGAAATGATACATTTTCACCTCTAAAACTCAATTTTCAAATGGAACTTTGTTCAAATTGGTTTCAGTTGGAAGATAGTAGATGGAGCAGAAACTGAGAAATTATCATATTGAGATAGAAACTCAATTTAATTCATTGGTACTTTAGCGATTTTTTATTAAAACTTAGCTTATATTTTACATCTT